GGTTTACTTCAGCCTGTTTGGAAATGAAATTGAGACACATTGAGTTTTAAGGCTAGAAAATATCTTTGCAATACTTTTTCTTTGTGTGTGAGGAAACTGAGACCTAACCAAAGGATTTAAGCAGCTTGCCCCAAGTGTCTCAGTCAGATAATGGTAGAACTGGGTCTACATAGAAACTGAAAGCAGTGGATGCTACCCACATAGCTTGAAACTCCCCTGATGCACTTGCTCCAAAAGCCTGCCACATTCGGCATTGTACATGGTCTTTATCTCAGTGAATTAAGAACTGGTGTATAGGAAGGCCCTATGAGGAACAAAACTGATAAAGGGACAGGATTTGTGTAATAATTCATTTAGCAATGTGAAGGGTTTTGCAGAAAAGGCAGAAGTATAATAGGGAAGAAAGGAAAGAATAGGAATAGTTATTATCTTCATTATTGTTATCAAATGATTATATGACATTCCATCTTCAAAACCTTTTAAAACTTTAATTAAGTGTCAAAAGCAGTACAAATCTAAATTTCATATGTTGCCTAGAAAAGTAGATTGTGAGATTTAGTGAGAAATGGAGAAAATATATTAGATTCTCCAATTCAGATACATTGTTGAAATTGGCTCTATTTTAAAACAACTTTTATACATTAATTAAAAAGTGAAAGCATTGTTATGATATACTTTGCACTCAAGCTGTTGACAGAGATAAATGTAAACAGGATCAAAGGATATAGAACAAAACATTTTTGTTTTTTTTTGTTGTTGTTTATCTTTTACAACATTTGAAAATGAATAGGTCTGCAAATATATTACCATGTACTTTTCCTCCTTGGGAATTTGAGGACTGTGATGTAACAGCTCATTTTGATTTTAAAAGGTTCCATATCAACCCAGCTAATAGTATTTTTTTCAATTCTTCCTAATATAAATCCTATATCACAATTAAAATCTATCAGAAAAGGATCAGAAAATACATGTAGATCCCATACCTAAGAATAGTGAGATTTAAAGTAGAACCATTATAGGAGACATCTTCTTTTTGTTTAAAGATCACCTTCATTCACTCGTGCATAAAAAAAGAGATAATTCTTATAGCTAAAGGCCTGAGGTCCTACAACACTTTTGCTTCTTAGGGCTTTTCTTTTCAAGTCACACCTATGTTTTCTGGGGCAGTTTAGCAATGGAAGAAATGACACTTTTATTCTTGTAATGAGGCACCATTACTCTGAGGCCTTTTGTAAGGGTGTAATTTCAAACTTCATTACAGACTGAGGCGGCCTCACCGCCATTACTCAGGAAGATGTGCTTCTGTTGTAACTCTTCAATAGGCCTTACATTTTTAATGCTGCTTCTTAGAATATTTATGAATCAGCATCACCAGTAGGGGGTGTCAGTCTTTAAATAAATGCTGTGGCACAAGAATATTCACGACCACATTTCACTACTTTCCTTGAGACTAGTCAGTTTACAACATCAAAGTTAAAAGTACAGTAATCCTAGCTACTCAGGAGGCTGAGATCTGAGGATTGCGGTTCAAAGCCAGCCCAGGCAGGAAAGTCCGTGAAACTTTTATCTCCAATAAACCACCAGAACACTGGAAGTGATGCTATAGTTCAAGTGGTAGAGCGCTAGCCTTGAGCTGAAGAGCTGAGGGACAGCACTCAGGCCCAGAGTTCAAGCCCCACGACGGACAAAAAACAAAGTATATGTTATAATCTGAAACAAATTTGGTTTGATTTAGTCCTTATGACTAGCACAGTAAACGATATATGTATATGTGTATCCCTGCAGTTTTAATATTTTATCATCAAAGTTTGAATATGAAGATAACCTGCTAAATTCCACAATAGTTAATATACAATAATTGTGGTTTCTTTTCAATGTTCTACTCTGTGCCAGACTCCTAGCTACTCAAGAGTCTGAGATCTGAGGATTGTGGTTCAAAGACAGCCTGGGCAGGAAAGTCTGTGAGACTCTTTTTTTTTTAATTTTAATTTTAATTGTGAAAATACTGTACAGAGGGTTACAATTACATGGACAAAATAATGAGTACATTTCTTATCAAGCATTGTAGCCTCCTCCTTTGTTTCCCCTTCCCATTCCTTCCCATCCTCCACTCCTGTGAGACTCTTATCTCGAATTAACTACCAGAAAACCAGAAGTGGTGCTATGAATCAAAGTGGTAGAGTGCTAGCCTTGAGCAAAAGAGCTCTGGGACAGTGCACAAGCCCTGAGTTCAAGTCTCACGACTGACCAAAAAAAAAAAGTTCTACTCTGAAAAAGTGTGTGCTTGCTTAAGCTAGGCCTTAGTCTTGTTAGAAGGTTTGACCTTACAGAAATATTTAAAGTTTCTGACTTCATGAATAAAAGATACTTGATGCTGTAAAATTTAATCCTGCTTATGAACTATGCAGTGATTCCATTCAGGACAGAAGCTTAGTGTGCCAGACTCCAGGGTTAGGAGTTAGAAGACCTGTGTTTTGTGCCTCACCTTAAGCCCAGAAATCTGGGGATGGGGTCCTGTGGGAAGGGAGGGGAAGTCTCCCTATGCCAGTATCTCTTTCCTAGCCCCAATCCCCCAGTTTTAGGGATTGCAACAGGCCTCGTGGCTTGCTATGGTTATATTACACATGGAAAGGCCTGTAGGTGTAAGCCATTATGAAAATGTGTATACACATATTTGAACAGGTTCACATAGGACTTTTCAAACGGGCATGTTAGTCTCAAAGAGTGCTTAGTGATTGTGATCCCAGCTGGTGTTCTTTTTCAGCTTTGGCTGTTTCTAATGTTAAGGCCGTGACAGTATATATTCAGTTTTAATCTACTCTGTACATACTGTGACAATTCCATGTGAATCTGTGAAAAATTCCATGATGGTATCCTGTTAATCCTCAAATAATAGACCGTTAGAAGTGAAATTTTACTGAGGAAATGTACACACTTCAAAGACTTGGGGTATGTTACAGATTTTTTTTAACTTAACACCATTTTCCTTTAATCTGGGGATTTAAATAGTTTCTTCCTTGCAAGATGCTGTTTTATTCAACTTGAAATTGCCCTACATGTTTCCCTACATGATCTCTGTTTAATTCTGTGTGAAATGAATATTTGCCACCACTTGCTGATTTGCACTTATAAGCAAATCCAGATACCCAGCCCATACTCTGTCCTAAGTGCTGTAACAGAGGAATGGAAAGACATCCATTCAGAGAGCAAGGCTGTAAATGGGTCCACTTTCTGCACCTGGACACAGGGGCGTTCCCCTGGCCACAGTGACAAGATGTGATCCTGACCGCTGTGAGCTGCTCCCACACCTGGGAGGCCTCACTAGGGCCACCTACTGTGAATTTTATGAATTACAGGTGTTTGATTTTTTGCAAGGACTAGTCAGTCAGTGCGTACATCACGCTGCTCTTTGGAGGCAATCTATATACATGAAGCACTGAACTGCAGTTACTGCATGCTATGTACCTATGCCTCCAGCTTGGTCTTTTGCTGATAAATTGGAGATAGAGTCTCAGAGACTTTTCTGCCTGTCTTGGCTTTGAACCACAATCTTCAGATCTCCACCTTCTGAGTAGCTAAGATTACTGGTATGAGGACACCAGAGCCCTGCTGCTTCAACTGCAGATACTTCAGTTAAGTTTGGCTGTGAAATGCCAAGTGCCCTAGCCCTTGTGACACTCACCTCTTTATTGGAAAGGCAAAAGTCCAATGTGTCTGCGATCCATGGATGAGTTTTTTAGGCCCACACAGTGCTTTAAAACTCAGAATTGGTTGCTAATACTTGACAGTTGGAAGAATTCACTTTAAATATCCAGATTTGTCAATTATCTTTCTTTAAATATCAGAGGATTTGGTAGAACTATCCTGTTATTTCACATGTCAAGTGTCAGTACTGTTCACTGCCCCTTCCCCCACTTTTCCTTTCCCTGTCTGGTTCCACCCATATTGAATGTTCCCTACTCTCCCCCTTCCCTCTTCCACCTGTGAGCAAGCTGTAGTCAGCCTGGTGTGTGCGTATCCACCTGCTAATGCCTTTTGCCACCATAGTTTTATACTTGTATTTTAGACATTTGCAAGGGAAGGGTGGTACTCAAGACTCAGCACCTTCTAGGCATGTCTCCAACCCGGCATTTTGCTGGTTAATTGGAGATGGAGTCTCAGAGACTTTTCTGCCCAGGCTGGCTTCAAATTGGGATTCTCAGATCTCAGCCTCCTGAGTAGCTAGGAATACAGGTGTGACTCTACCAGCATCCAACTCTTAAATGCGATTTCAACTAGCCTATTTTTAAAAAGTGATTTTGTTTCAGCATTTAAGATCACCACTGTAGCACTACACTGTTGTTTCTTTACTCAGATGATTTTTTAAATGAATTTTTATTTGGCACACATCTTTTGTTAGAAAAGTTTGTCAAAAGAATAAAAAATTACAATATGTCTTTATTTAATAAGACTATTACATATTAATGTCTTGGTGTATACATTAATATGTATAAACTAACACTTAATCTATTTAAGGATGTATGAATCCAGTTAATACATTCTCAGCTTTCAGTGGTTGTAATAAAATTGCTTCCAGACCCTAGTGACTCAAGGAGTCTGAGATCTGAAGAATAGTGCTTTAAGGCCAGAAGGGATAGGAAAATTCACTGTCTAAAATAACCAGCAAAAATCTGGACTGGAGTTATGGCTCAAGTGTCAGAGCACTACTCAAGCCAGCAAGTTGAGCAAGCTGGAGGCCATGAGTTCAAATCCCAGTACAACTGAAAAGGAAAAAAAAACTACTGCTTAAATAACAGCATTTTTAAGATGAAGATGAAACAAGGCCTCAGGTATGGATGTTGTTTTGGTTTTTATGTTTTCAAAATAGGGTCTTTCTATATAGCCTAAGGTGACTTTGAACGCTTGATCATCCTCCCTCAGCCTCCATGCTGGGATTACAGGTGACTACTACAAATGTGCAGCTTGGAGGTTAACTTTAGATGAATGCTTTTTCTTTTCAGAACACGACAGGAAAATGATATGGTTGATTCAGCACCTCAGTGGGAAGCTGTATTAAGGAGACAAAAGGAAAAAAACCAAGCGGACCCCAACAACAGGCGATCCAGACACAGATCTCGCTCGTATGTGCCACCTTTTTACACCTTCTCTCCAAACACTAGCTTAAAGTAGCACGTGGATGCTCAGGCAGTCTAAGGAGTTTCACTGTAGCCCTGTTGTTTATTTGTCATATGCACCTTCTGATGTTTGTGACATTCATTAACTATATTTGAAGCCTCTGGAGCTCTGCTAAAATGTCAGAGAAACTAGGCTGTCAAAACCATATTCTTTGTGTATTATTTTTGAACAGATGTAGACATCCGGCTGGATAAATAGAAATAGGCCCCTTTGTTCTGAAGCCTGGCTGTTGGTAAAATACCTGCCGCTTCTCTCAATTCCAATCTGAAGAATTCTCTCAAGTCTTGTTCCAGACTGAGCCAGATGTGGATGTCTTCCCATCAAATTAGCGATTGCGAGCAGTAGTCAGTTAGTGATTCATTACACCCCAGTGTTGGGGCTGGCATGCCCCTCCTGTTGCTAGGCAATGCCATGTGTTAGTACAATTACCCCATCATGGTGATGCTACCAGTCCCCCAAATTAATTTCATTTGAGCTGATAAAATAAAATGTGTATGTGTGTTATTCTATGTATCATGATTCCTCCCTCCCCCCCCACTCCCATTCTGCAGATCCCTTTGTGACTCCAAGTGGGTGGTTAGGCATGTGGTGTGTTGCTTTGTGGGGGGAGAGATGAGATCGGGGGAGGATGCTGAGAAGTTGATGCAGAAACAAACCAGGCAGGTCCATCTGAGCGCTGAGGGAGCCAGGCAGGAGAGCATGAGGTCAGGCTGACAGAGGCCAGGAAGCTCCCAAGGTTACAATCCAGGAACCTGGGGGCGGGGGCGGGGAAGGGGGGAGGGTGTGCGGGGTGGGGGGGGGAGTTAGCTCAGTCTAGGATGCATACCATTTAATTAGAACTTCATGCACACTGTGTTGGTTGCATTAGTGTATCAGAGTGAGACTGCTTTTGTACAGAAATCCTGAAAAAAGCTACTAAGCAGCATACATTATGACAGTTGTATTTATCAGTCTGTAATGATTCTATTCAGAAATCAAACCATTGGTTTAAAAGTCTTTTGTCTTTTAAATGTAGAGTTCTTTATGTATTCTGGACGCGTTCTTTTTTTCAGATTTATGGACAAATATTATGGATACTTTTTTAAATTCCAGTTCTGGGACTTGAAGGGTCTTGAATTCAGGGATTCAAACTCTCACTTTGCTTTTCTTTCTTTTTTCTTTTTTTCTTAAAGCTGGCACTCTATCAATTGAGACACACTTCTACTTACAGCTTTTTTGCTGGTTTGTTGGAGATAAGAGTCTCATGGACTTGTCTACCTGGACTGGCTTTGAACCACAATTCTCAGATCTCAAGCTCCTGAGTAGCTAGGCTTACAATTGTGAGCCACCAGTACCTAGTTTATAAATATTTTTTTTGCCATCCGAGGGCTTGAACTCAGGGCCTGGGCACTGTCTCTGGGCTTCTTTTGCTCAAAGGTAGCACCCTGCCACTTGAGCCACAGTGCCACTTCTGGTTTTTCTGTGTATGTGGTACTGAGAAATCGAACCCAGGGCTTCATGCATGCTAGGCAAGCACTCTACCACTAAGCACATTCCCAGCCCAGTGAATACTTTTTTTGGAGGGTGGTTTTGAACCCAGGCCCTCACACTTGCTAGGCAGGTGCTCTACTACCTGAACAATGCCCCTAGCACTCTTTTGCTTTTGTATTTTCACAACTTTTGAATTTCACCTGTGATAAGAATTCTTTATGAAGCTGGGATTAGAGAGGTATGCCACTACAACTAGTCCTCCCGCCCCCCCCCTTCATCTTAAGGAATATTTTCCTATCCCAAGATTACAAAGATAGTCTCATCTTTTTCTAGCAGCTTCTAAAGTTTGTCTTATATTCAGACCTGGGATCCATCTAGGATTATTTCCTATATGTATATTAACTAGAAATTGAGAGGTTTATTTCAGGTATTTATTCAGTTATATTATACTATCTGTTGCAAAGACCAGCTTCTTTGAAATATGCTAGAGCCTTCCTTGAAAATCAGTTAGCTGCCTGTATGTGAGCCAATTTTGTTTTATTGATCTATTTGTCTATCTGTACGCCACTATGTTGTCTTGACTGCTGTAATTTATAGTAACACTTGAATCAGGCTGTGTAAATTCTATAACATTGTTCTTTTTCAAGATAGTTTTGAGTCATTTTAAGTTCCTTGTGTTTTTATATAAAATTTTTGATCAAGCCCGGTGCTGGTGGCTCATGCCTTTAATCCTAACTATTCAGGAGGCTGAGATTTGAGGATCGTGGTTCAAAGCCAGCTCGGGCAAGAAAGTCCATGAGACTCTTATCTCCAATTAACCACCAGAAAACCGGAAGTGACACTGTGGCTCAAGTGGTAGAGTGCTCCCCTTGAGCTGAAGAGCTGAGGGACAGCACCCAGGCCCAGAGTTCAAGACCCATGACCAAAAAAAAAAAAAAAATTTGACAAAGTTGTCAATCTTTTCCACCCATCTAGAAAAGGCTATAGGTTTAAAATTAAGATTATTATTAACCCTAGAGGCCAGTTTTGAGAAAATAAATCTTATCTATCCACTTATTATTACTTAACTATATTATTATATATATTAACTATATTATTAACTTTATAATTATTATTTAACTTATTTACAATTTTAGTAGTTATTGTCAAATTTAATCCTAAATATTTAGTATTTTTGTTTTTGTTTTTTTATGCTGGTAGGAGGGCTTGAACTCAGTTCTTCAAACTCTCATATGGCTTTCTTGCTCACGGACTGTGCTCACTTGAGACATATCTCCAGCCTGGATTTTTGCTGTTTAATTGGAGATGTAGTTTGGTTTTTGCTGTTTAATTGGAGATGTAGTTTGGTAGACTTTTCTGTCTGAGCTGACTTTTACCCTTGATACTGAGTAGCTTGGATTACAGGCTTGGAGCTTGGCAATCCTAAATATTTAGTGCTTTTTGATGATCTAGAATTTATATAGTTGTAAATTTCTTCCACTTATTTTTAGTATGTAGAAAAATCTGATTTAAAAAATACTGATAGGCATGGTTGTCCTTGTGAAACCCAAGCACTCAGAAAGAAGGCTGAGGCAGGAAGATTGTGAATTTGAGGCCAGTCCAGGGCTTTATAACGTGTTCTACACCAGCATGGGTGACATAGCAAGTCAGTCCCTCAAAACACACTGCAACCTAACTAACTGTAGAAATTGACTCATGTGGGAGCATTATTTTGGGGATTTGCTACAATCACATTGTTATAAACAGTGGTATTTTTCATTTTAAACCATTTCTTTTATTTTTCTTCTCTTGTTGTACTAGCTAGCTCCTACAGCAAACAGTTGAATTATGATGTAGAACAGGAGTTGTGGTAGAAAGCAGATATTCTTGGTTGGTTCTCCCTTATGAAGATGAATTCAGTAGTTCACATTAGTGCCTTAATAGTGAGGAAAAAGCTCTTCTGTTCCTCTTTTGCTGAGTTAGTGAAGAGTTTTGTTTTTTTTTTTAATTGTTGTTTGTGTGCCAGTCCTAGGGCTTGAACCCAGGGCCTGGGCACTATCCCTGAGCTTTTTTGTTTAGAAGTAGCATTCTACCATTTGAGCCACAGATCTACTTCTGGACTTTTGGTAGTTTATTGGAAATAGTCTTTCCTGCCTGGGATGGCTTTGAACTGCTGTCCTCAGATTGCAGCATCCTGAGTAGCTAGGATTACAGGTGTGAGATAACATCACCCAGAGTAATAAAGTTTGTTTCTTGAATGAGTTTTGAATGCTGTTGTATTTTTATGTACCTATTGAGATGTTTGCATATGGATTTTTCTTCTTTGTTAGTGGAAGAATTATATCAATTCAGTTTTGTTTTGTTTTGCCTGTCATGGGTTGTGAACTCTGGGCCTGGGCGCTGGCCCTCAGCTATTCAGCTCAAGCTAGTACTCTACCACTTGAACCACAGCCCCACTTTCAGCTTTTTCTGCTTATGTGGTGCTAAGGAATCGAACCTAGGGCCTCATGCATGCAAGGCAAGCACTCTACCACTGAACTACCTTCCCAGCCCCAATATATCAATTCAGTTTTGAATCATATGTGCTATCTTTTTTTGTACATTGCTACATTTTATTTGCTATTTTAAAATAGTTTCACTATTTACAGGAAATATTGGTCCATAATTTTCTTGTAATATTTTTGCTAGGCTTTTTGGTAACAGAGTTCTCAGATAGCTTTTTTAAATTTTTAAATATTTTTATATAATTCACCAGTGAACAAGACACTATGTTGAAAACTTTACAACGTGGAGGATGGGGTAGGAGGAGTTGGGGAGGAAGAGAAGGAAGGGATGATAGTGGAAAAACAAAGGAGGAGGTAACAATGCTTGATAGGAAATGTACTCATTACCTTACTCATGTAACTGTAACCTCTCTGTACAGTATTTTGACAATAAAAAAAACATATAAAAATAATTCACCAATGAAACCATTAGTGCCTGGAGTTTCCTTTATGGGACATTTTAAATTACAAAGTCAATTCTTTTTTTTTAAATATATGACACTATTACTATTTCCTACTTGTTATGTCTAGGTTTCGATAATTTGTTTTTAAAAGAATTCATGGGGGGCTGGGAAGGTGGCTCAGTGGTAGAGTGCTTGCCTTGCATGCATGAGGCCCTGGGTTCAATTCCTCAGCACCACATAAGCAAAAAGAAAA